TTTTTTTTTTGAGATTTTGAACACCAAAACTTCAAATCCCAAATATAGCTTAAGACCTCTTTTTGGGCCAAATCATAACCATTTGGGACTTTTTAGCTTGGAAAAAAAAAAAGAATTTTTTAACATGTCAAAACTTGCCCCAAGATTCATGTCCAAACAATTACATATCAAACTTCACCCAAATAAGCTTTTTCAAAAAATATTTGGGAATTTGTGTCCATATTTGAAAATCTATGTCCAAACAGGTCCTAAATGAAAATTTGACAATATTATAATATAAGAGTAACCAAAAACTTGGCATTCTAATTAAAATTTAAAGTGTATAAAATTATGCACACAAATTAATCCTGATAATTACATGGACCTAATTTTTTAATTAACAAAACAAACTTCCATCTACTCTAGTTAAAAAGTGGAGTAGTGATTATCACTTATGTAAAATGACAAATATTTCAAAACCCTTTATTGTGCTGATATTGTTTTACCCTTCGGAATGCAGTCCATTAAGAGACGACTAGAAACTATTTTGATATCAAACAATCCAAACATATGTATGAGAAAACTACATAGGTGAAAATAACCGAAAATTAGTTTTAAAATCATCTTCTATTCCTTTTAAATTACTAAAGAGTAAGGACATTTATATATGAATACAAATTCTTTTTATGTAATACTAATTTATTTGGCACGGACTTGTTTGCTATATAACTATTCCATCCGGTCCACTTTAATTAATTTTTTGGTTATTTTCACATATATTAAGAAATTCATATTTTATCATTAATTAATAATAAAATTGACTATATTAACCTTATTTTGTTCATTGAAAATATAAAGTATACTCCTAGGCTCTTTACTCTAAGGACAACTTTGAAAAAAAAAAGTTAATTAATTATTAATATTTGAGAAAATCAAATATTGTGGACCACAAATAAAGGCCAAAAAATTAATTAAAGGGTATCATAAGAAGATGTTAATTATTTAGGGCATTTAGCGGTAGTCCACCAAAAAATTGGAAAAGGGTTATCAGAGCATTGAAAAAAATGGTCCGACTATGAAAATTGGAAAAGGTGTGGTGCAACCTGCAAATATTAAATAAATAAATAGGGGGTTGTGAACATTTAATGCAGAAATAAAAAGCAGTTGGAAGGAGTAAGTGATAGCAACTATCCATCTGTAATGTAGTTGGAGAGGGTTAACCTATTCTGCTGGAAGAATCTAACACCATCCCTATTTAATTTTATAGGCCTATCTTTGACGCAGTAAATTAAGCCATGGCTAATCTTTCAATCAATGTCAACTACTACATTCACACCAAGAACCAAATCAAAACATCTGCACCTCCATTCCTCTACCACCCTTGGAAAAAAGAAAAGAAAAGAAAATAAGGAAATGTTATGTTTACCAAAATTGTTTTACTAGAAAAATGTTCTTTCAAGTTTATGTTATGACTATCAAAAGAGGGGTTAGTGCACCCGGAAACTTCGGAAAAAATTTCACATATATTTATAAATGTCTTCAAGAAATAGTCAGATATTAGGATAGGTTTTCGTACCAATTTTTATGAGTATTGATAAATTTATATTGAATATCATGGTATTGTTGATGTTTAAACGTTGCAGAATAATAACTGGGTGTGTACTGTAAAATTAGTTAGTGACAGTCGGACGGATCGGATGAAGAGATGACATGTGGAGCTGAAGACAAGTATGATGTGAGTCAGCAAATGGTCAATACCGGTTGCCAGTATGTGTCCAGCACTGGATGAGTCTCGAAGGCAGGGTAGCCGACGACAAAGGTTCAAAGTATTGACATCGGGCAACATTCAATGAGAGAATATCTGCATTTATAACCAACCTTATGCAGCCAACCAGCCATCAATGACAGTTTTATTCTCATTCATGAGGAGTTTGGGTTGAGGATCCTGTCTCCCTGAATAGAGCTATAAATAGAAGAATTAACATCCATTGTTTAAAAAAAAAGAGAAAAAAGCATTATGTACACATAAAAGCTATACTTTGCTCTCATTTTATAACATTGTTCTCAATCTTTATTCTTGAACATCGTTCTCACTTTTGCCACAGAAAGGCTAAGTTCATAGCCATGCTTGTATCCTTTAATTTTATTTCATATTCTTGTTTCTGTTTTTATTTATTTCGTACTGTAGGATAAAATCGGTTCATTTGTCTATAAATTACGTTACAAATTTAACTATATCGTTTTACAGGTAAATAGGGAGGGGATTCACATCTACAATATTTAGAGGATTTGGTTTAAAATTGGTAGGCACCCACCCGACTAGAGGAATAGATAAATTAATTGAATTCAAATTTAGGTTTGAATTTTATCTTACTCTAATCGTTCGAAGGACGAACGTATTCCTTTATTCCTTGTTTGACGTCTAATATTTCGAAACTGTGAACTATTGTATTCTTTGCCGGTAAGCTAATCTTTATTCCTTTATATTCCAACTTTTACATATAGTACATAGTTCTTATAAATGTCATTGATGTGAAATAATATCCAACTAAAACCTCTTCAAAAAATAAATAACCTTCAAAGGCTTACAGTAGAATGAGATCAAGAATCGTTGGAATGACGATAGTACTGATCCAACTGGAATTTTGCACCGACAGATAATAATTGGAGTAATATCTTTATAATAAAAACGACATCAATCCTAGAAAGTGTTGGGAATAAACTCGCACAGAAATAATATTCACGGTAATAAAAGCGGAATAATAATGTAGCACCGAGATACGGTAATTAACAAGAATAAAAGAGTAACAACGACACCAAGATTTTTACGTGAAAAACCCTTTTAATAAGGGAAAAAACCACGGCCCCGATAGGAGCAACTGATATCACTATAGTAAGGAATTTTTACACTTTGTAGGTCCGAGTAAAATACTCCAAAAACCACTACAACACTCAAAAGAAATAACCCTATTTTTGATATTCCCACCTCACTACAATATCGCGCACTCTCTATTTTTCTCACAGACTATTTTCTTATACCCTGTCTGTGAAACCTCACTCTTTCTTTCTCTCTTTGTTGGTGTGAAGAAATGAGAGTTGAAACTCTCCTTTTATAGCCAAAATTTCACTCTCTAAAGCCTACAATATTTGAAAATTTACACACACTTTTCACAATTCAACAAAGTT